CCAAGGTGAAGTAAACTCCCGATGACAGGCAATGATGGTAAGCTCTTGGGGTACTTTATATCTCCATGGCACCTGAATCCCATTCTCCAGACAGAGATGAGGAATAGCACTGAGACTAGAAGCAAAGCACAGCCAAGCCACACAATCATGCTGGAGTCTTAACTACCTTGAAATGGCCTCTTCAGTGTTCTTGCCAAATATATATTATGGAAACTTTTCCCTGCAGCCAATCAGAGCCAACTGATTATTAACCCCTAGACTGCTCAAACACTCTGTCTTCTCCTTCAGGCATTCCTGAGTCTGAGTAATAAAATAAGTCAATTGCACTTATTACACACTTTCTGAGATCCTAGCTTCTGAATAAGTGAAAGAAACAGTAGAGTTGATTTACAAAAGGTAAATAGGCTGTTCATTTTGCAACTGAAATTACACTTTGCAAGGGTATTTTTCCCAGAACCTAGTAAATGAGGTGAACTTTCACTTTGCAAAAAATACCCAATCAAATGGAAGGAAAATAAAATTTTAAAAAATTTATTTTTTGCTTTCACATAATTGGATGATGGAAGTCAGCAGAGTTCTCATTACAAATTCCCCTTGCAATGCGCAGCTTCCCTTGCAAAGTGAACTGTCTGTTTGCCTTTAGTAAATCAACCCTATTGTGTTATAATGGCCAAACAACCATACATCAATGTTTCACTATTTTCTATATATATGTTTTTAATATTTTCTCTTACTTTCAAATGTCTTTAGATATACTAAAAATACTGTACCTCCTGTTCTATTCTACATCGAAATAAAGATCAAAACAGCAGTTGAATATACAACTGATCTCAAAATATCATCATTTGACTGATTTTCCAATTTGCTTCTTAAATTAGACTGCCATCTAATAACTGTTTAGTTGTACCGCCATGTTACATCTCCATCAAAATCATAAAAAATATTCAGCCTGTGCCAATGTTTTCTTTTCAGTTTTCATGATCACCATATGTAATTACATAAGTGGTCCATATAGTGAACTTGATGTTGAGTCATTCATTGTAAGGTCATCACTGAGGACAAGGGGGACTTTTTACATCTGGAGGAAAAGAGATTTAATCTCCAAATATGGGAAGGCTTCTTCACAGTAAGAGCTGTGAAAATGTGGAATAGACTCCCTCAAGAGTTGGTTCTGGCCATTCCAGTAGATTGTGTTAAAAAAGGCCTGGATTCTTTCCTAAATGCACAAATTATAACTGGATACTAAAATTTATAGGTAAAGTTAATCCAGGGAATATCCAGGAAGGATATTTTTTTTTCCTGCAGGAGCAAATTGGATCATGCTTTATTGGGGTTTTCGCCTTTCTTTGGATCAACTGTGGGTATAGGATTGTGTATTTGGGATTGAATACGTTTTTCTCCACTTCTATTAGTTGAACTGGATCGACTTGTCATTTGTTCAGCCAGACTAACAATGTAACTATGTATGATCTAAAAAAACTTAATATTAAGAATTAAAGGGAACATTTTGAAGTTAAATTTGAATAGCGTAAGGGAGGATTGGTAACTCCAGTCAGTGTTTTTTGCCATCTGTGTCCCAATGTGGAGATTTCCCTACACTTCCTGTACTGTAGCAAAACAGGAAGTGGGAGGAAATCCCTCAAAAGTGAAAGAATTCCTGGATGTCTCCAGAACTAGTGTTTCTATTGGAAGATATCTCCACTATTCCTGTCCAGGTGACAACCAAAAATTTCAGATTTTTTTTCACTCTCTCAGAGAATGGTAAGCAGGACAAACAGAGAGGGTGAATCTCCCTATCAGGGGCACAGACAGACCTATAAACCCGACAGGTGTTCTAACTCCTCTCCACTCTATCCAAAATTAACTAATCATATTGTATGCAAAATAACTCACCCCATGGGTAGGCATATTCAGCCAGTTAATTTAGAGTCATATTCCTGTGGAAAATACAGCAATTGAACAGGTTGGACATTTTGCATTATTTTGACAAAGATATAACATGGGCGATACAACCAAAATTGAGACATTTCTGTTTTAAAGAACACAGCAATGGACTCTTCTACTACAGAGCTGTGGCTCTTTGATGCTACTGACCCACTGACCTATCAAAGACCTTGTACATTTTTAACTCTGCACTGCAGAAATTATTGTTTGAATCTTATTGGTTGAGACAGGCAACCAACAAACATTCTCGTCAACAGGATTTTCATGTACAAGCCTCTTAATTACTATGATACATTTTTATTTTAATTTCAATATAAAGAAAATGTTCCCATATTGCATAAAACTCAATAGTGCTCAAATTTATATAAGTAAAGCTTGGTCCTTTTGCAGCATTGGCTATTTGTACAAAGGCCCAGTGATGTATCAGACCATGCTAAAATGAAAAAGTCCAACACTGGCTTCAGCCAGATTTAAGTAAATCAATAAGGACATTTTTCTGGCACTATGGCCCCTTTAACATTATTATTATTATTATACAGGATTTATATAGCGCCAACAGTTTGCTCAGCACTTTACAATATAACGGGAGACAATACAGCAACAATACAGTTCAATACAAGACCAGGGGTCCCATCATGCCTCTGCCTTTCGGAGTCATGCTTGTAACTGTCAGTCTTGCAATGCCTCATGGGACTTGTAGTTTGGCAACAGCTGGAGGGCCACCAGTTTGACACCCATGCTCTACACTGAAGCTGGGACCCTATCATGTAACAGGACCAGAGGAACTTCAGAATAGGTAAGCACAGAAATCTTTCCTTTTACATGTTATATATATAGAGTAGGCTTAGAATATAGTTAGGGCAGGGTGGTGGTGACATCATCAAGCCAGCTCAGTTGGGCGTTGTTAGCTGTGTTCTTCACCTATTGCTGCTCTTATATGTTGATGGACTTTTAATAAAGTGTTTTTGGATATACTACACTATGTGGCTTCCCCATCTCCTTCTCTGTGCTTGAGATAGATCTTTATACTATATCATGTTCAGCTGTGGGTCCATCATTCATCCTGCTGTGAAAGCCATAAATAAGGACTCCAGTTAAAAACTTCTTGTTTTGTTCTAGCGGAAAGGACTGCAGAGAGATATACTTACCTGATCTGCCAATCCTCCCCGCACCAGACCTGTCTGGCACCCCCACGCTCAAGCGGTCTTGAAAATTGACTGTTCGTGACGTCAGCATGCTCCATAGACAGGAACAGACCACTACTGCACCGTGGGGGGAGTGCAGTTTTCTGAATGATTGGCAGCTCAGGTATGAGCTTTCTGCTGATACTGAGGAAAAAAACCAAGCAGTTGACCCGTGCAATGCAGGCAGAGCCCCGCTGCATGTGCATGTAAAAAAATAATTTTGCCTGGAGTTGGGCCTGGTCTGATGACAAGTTGCAAGAGATATTAGACCTCCTTTAACATGAGGTCTTAGGCCCCTTCCACATGGGACGGGCTCCACTGGAGTCCACTTGCTCAGTAGGCGATTTGTGCACTGATCCGGCAGATGGCTGTACTGTGTCTGCTACGCTTATGCAGAGCAGACACAGACACAACCCGCTTTCCTCTATGGGAGGTCGGATATAAACAGACCGCCTGCGCGTTTACACCTGACTGCCATCCAATCTGTTCCACCAGAGGGATGGGCAATGGATCCCCATTCATCTGTTTATAAGGGATAGGATCTGATGTAGGCGGGTGTAAACAGACACCTGTCCATTTATACCTGCCGCTCCATAGAGGAGACTGGAGGGTCCGATCGGGTCCACCTGAAAAACTGACAATAGAACCTGATCAGCCCACTAGTGTGAAAGGGGCCTTAGTATCTGGTAAGTGTGTTGATATGGTGGTGGCAACACTGTGGATGGTGAAGAAAACTTGCAAATGGTGGATCTCACTAGAGGATGTATTTATATATTAATCACTTTGGGACTTTTTAGGTGAACGTTTTTTTCACACATATGCTGTTTTATATGATTCATATAGATACAACAATGCAACACATTGCTGATATTATTATACAGGATGTATTATTATATATATGATATATATAGTTTAGGATTTGAGTGGACTTCCACTTTAAGTCAAACCTTTTTCCCCATTTTGGATCACATAAGGGAGAACCTTGTTTAGACTAGCAGTTGGCCACCTGACAACCCCCTCCCCTCCTTAAGCTGCAATATGAAGTGGACAGGGATATTTTCACACCATGGTTGTGATGCTCTGCGGCCACGGCAGTGTTGACCCGACATGGATCATTTATCAGGCGTCAAGCCCACTGAATGCTTCACATGGAAATCGATGGGGAAGCACCGCAAACGCCCTGCAATGCATGTGGTTGTGGCGCAATTTTTGGCAGAAATGGGGTTAAAACAGCCGGTGAAGAGGCGTTGCATTCCTTCCTCACTGCCTGTCAGTAGCCTCTGAAATGCGATCCTTACGCGGATTGGGCTTCAGAGGCAAGGGAGATTTAGACTCGTTTCTAAATCTACCCTTACCTGTCAGAGATTTTTTTTTTGCCATCTGTGTTCCATGGGGGAGACTTCCCTTCACTTCCTGCTCCATTTCCAAAACAGGAAGTGAAAAGTGCTCCAAATTGAGGGAATTCCTGATTGTCACCAGAACTAGTGTCCCACTGAAGTATTTCCCCTCAATTCTTGTTCTGTGGACGATCCACAATTTGGGCTTTTCTTTCACTTTCGGTGATGATGATGGTCATCAAGTGACATAGAGAGGGTGAATGTAATTTCCAGACATAGAGGTAGCAATAGAAACCTGCCAGATGTCCTAACCCCTGTCCACTCCATCCACACACCGAACACTAGACGGGTTGCCTTCAGTACTGTAACTCCTTCCTCCACTCTCTCCATTCGACTACAGGGACACGCCCCTTATCCTCCTCCTATCACGCGATTTGTTGGAGCACAGGTCAGCAGGCTGAATGTAAAGTTCTGGCTCCTCCCTCCGCTTTTCGCTTTGCGAGCCTTTTTGAGCCGCGCCGTGTGAGCCGTACTTATGATGGAGAGGGAAACGGTGGCAAAAATGGCGGCGTCCGCGGATGGCCAGACAAAATACGGGCAGTCGGTGAAGGGACTGCTCACCGAGAAGGTCAGCACATGCGGGGCTGACGTCATCGCCCTCACCAAACAGGTGCTGAAAGGATCGCGGAGTTCCGAGGTGAGGGGCGGCTTCCGGCTGGGGACCGGGGGCAGGGCCTGGAGGAAGGAGGCGGGGCTATAGAGCAGACAGTCTGTGCAGTATAAATGGGAAGTCATGTATATAGACAGGCTTTAGTATGGACGACCTGTTCCTGGATAGGGGAAGATATTCAGTTATTGCATATTATACACTAATTATATATATATGGAGGAGGCATGGTCGTGATTGTACATTCATTATTAAACCGTCATTCTTCTACCTGTCAAACCATGGAAAGGATGCGGAATAGTCAAACATACTTTTATTTTTTTTTGTCATTGATACTAAGAAGAAGCAAATTAAATGAAAGCCTCTCATCTTTGTGATCATCAGGTAACCACTCGCCCTCCTGAGGATTTCCACCCCTTCCTGACCAGGCCATTTTTTGCATTACAGCACTGCGTCACTTTAACTGACAATTGCGCGGTCATGCAACGCTGCACCAAAATGAAATTTACGTTCCTTTTTCCCCATGAATTGAGCTTTCTTTCGGCAGTATTTGATTGCCTGTGTATTTTTATTTTTTGCTCTATAAAAAAAAAAAGACTGACAATTTTGAGGAAAAAAAAATATTTTTGACTTTTTACTATTAAACGTGTACAGTGAAAAAAATTTAAAAATCAAATTTCATCATGAATTTAGGCCAAAATGTATTCTGCTACATGTCTTTGCAAAAAAAAACAAAAAAAAAAAAAACAATACCTGTAATTTAATTGGTTTACATGAAAGGTCTAGCGTTTACAAATGGCGGTATATATACTGGGATTTTTATTTTTACTAGTAATTAGCAACTTATAGCGAGACTGTGGGACTACGATGAGCATTCTGTCACTGGGGGGAACTGACTTCCCCAGCGACACCAATACAGTGATTAGTGCTACAAAAAAGTACTAACACTGTACTAACGGCACTGGGCAGGAAGGGGTTAACATGAGGGGCACTCAAAGGGTTAACTGTGTGTTGGGAGTGTTTTACTAGGGGGCAGTGTTAGTGTGCTTCACTGTAAGCACACTGCTTTGGATGGCTGTGCTGATTCAAGTCAGTATGGGCAACACAGTGGCTAAATGGTTAGCATTTCCACCTGGCAGTGCTAGGGTCTCTGGTTCAAATCCCAACCATGGCACCACCTGCCTGGAGTTTGCATATTTTCCTTGTGCTTGCATGGGTTTCCTCCGGGTACTCCGGTTTCCTCCCACACTTCAAAGACATGCTGGTAGGTTAATTGGTTCCTGCCTAAATTGGCCCTAGTATGTGTATGTATGAATGTGAGTTAGGGACCTTAGATTGTACATCCCCTGAGGGTTAGGGACTGATGTGAATGTACAATATATATGTAAAGTGCTGCATAAATTGACAGCACTATATAAGTACCTGAAATAAATAAACCAGTGTGCCTGAGCTATCACAGTGAACAAAACATTTCTCCTCCCCGTCGGAGCTCCTCAGTAATCACTGGGCGCTGATGAATAATCACTGGCCGGGACCCAGTCATTGACGGACGCCCCCTACCCAGAAATGCAAAATCATGCATATATACGTGATTCTGCGCACCCGTGCCACCCTATAGCAGTATTTCTGCTATAGGGCGGTCAGGAACCAGTTAAAGGACAACTTCACTTTGATTGCCATTGTCCTGTAAAGGCCCCTCAGCCTAACTGCTATACTTGTGGAGAACACTGCCATCCATAGGAATGAATTGTCCAGCTGCGATGTCCAGATGTGAAGTTGTCTTGTTTTTTTTTTTTGTATCAAAACCATCTGTAATAAAGATTCTTTTTTTGTTTTTGTTTTTTTGTATCAAAACCATCTGTAATAGAGATTCTTGATATGAATACAGAAACCAATCAGGCCCCGGCTTTCTTTTTTTTTTTTCTACTGCAGAATTTTAAATACCACTTTCTGGTATAGTTGCAAATTCATACAATGAACAGTTCTTCACAAATGATTTGTAGAGCAGTGGTTCCCCCAACATCAGTCCTTGTGGTCCATTCACAGCAGTCAGTGCTTTATAATGCAGCGGCTGGTGTGTGGTGAGGTCTGGTGGAAAACACCGCTCTGTTAGCACCATTCCATTTTTTAAAATGAACTTTATTGAAATGTCACAGAGACGTTTCTTAAAGTTCAGTTGGCTGCCACACAGTGCATCGTCTTGCGCTGCACGAAAAAAAAAAAAAATAGTACATGCACTGCAGTGATGTGAATCGGGAACACAGGAGACAAGGCATTTTGCATTGCCATGTGGTGGAACTGCGCTGAAATAACCATCCAGCGCAGTGCCACTGCATCTGGTGTGATAGAAGTCTTAAAGTGGTTCTAAAGGCAAACTTTTTTTTTTTACTTTAATGCATAAAAGTAAAAAACCTTTCAATAGCAGCTCCCCCCAGCCCCTCCCCCTTAAACACTTACCCGAGTCCATTCTCAGTCCAGTTCTGTGCCTGTCTGTAGCAGCTCTTCTTATTTCAGCTCTCATAGGAGACTCTGAGATCAACAGGAGCTATTGGCTCCTGCTGCTGTCAGTCAACACCAGTGAGAAGGGAGTGGAAGATGGAACCAAGCCATGCTGTGTGTGTGTCTATGGACACACAGCCCAACTCAGGAATGCACCCCCACAAATGCCCCCGCGGTAGTCGGCTTGCTATAGGAGCACTCAAAGAAGAGGAGGAGCGGACAGCGCCGATGGGGAACCCCAGAAGAAGGGGTAAGGGACCACTCTGTGCAACACTATTGCACAGAGCAGGTAAGTATACACCTGTTTCTTATTTTAGAATAAAAAAACAGGATTTTCAAACTGGTTTGAGTTCCCCCAACAGGCCATGTTTTAGCAATTTCCCTTAGAAAAAATAGCTGTCATGGATACCAAGCCTTTGTCAATGATTTAAAGCAACCATGAAAGAAATCCTGAAAACATGCACTGTTGGGGGTTCTTGAGGACTGAGATTGGGAACCACTGCTGTAGAGGTATAATGAATTGTAGCTTAAAGAAATCAAGGTTGCTGTGAACCCCAAGCTACATCTTTAGAGTCCAGGTATACTGTAGTTTGTAAGCATTTGGAAAAATACATTTTTATTTTATTTTATTTTTTTTTCAGTTTTCTTGGCCATGCTGCCAGAAATATGGTGATGCAAGAAGATGCCATTTTACATTCGGAAGATGTAAGTAAATACAATCACACAATATGCTGAAGAGAAATGTACTAATTACAGTTTCTGCACAGCTACAATTCAAACATCCTTTTATATTGTGGATTACCAGTTCTTAGATTTGGTAGTTGCATTAGTATATTTAAGGCTATAAACATTTTCAGCAAGTACAGGACATACCTGTCGAACCTGCCAATAATGTCTGAACTAGTGTCCTCATTGGAAGACCTCCTCTCCTTTTCTGGGGACAACCCATCATTTTGGGGTTTCTTTTACTTTCACTTTTGAGGCTAATGGTAAACAGGACAAATGGAGAGGGCGAATCTCCCTTACGGGGACTGCAGACTGCAGTGAAAACCTTATAGGTGTTCTAATCCATCTCCACTCTATCCATGCCAAGCAACTGTGTTTTACTTCCTTAGTTCACACCTATACATTTTGCTTTTGATCCATTTTATAATGCTTTTTGCACTGTGCTTTGCGTTTTTACACGGGTGTTTTTGCAGCGTTTTGGTATTTTTTCAGCTGTTTTTTTTTTTTTTTTGTTGCTTAGCAGAAAAAAAACACAAACGTGGTAAAGACTCACTACATGCGTTTCAGCAGCTTCTCCATTGAACTCTGTTGTAGCAAAAATGCTGCTTTTTTGCATTTGAAAAATCCCTGACCCTTTCCCAAAACACAGCAGCTCAAAAAATTATAGAAGTGAACATATCCCTTAGGAAACCATGTTAAATGGACTGTAGTGCAAAAAAGCACTAAAAAACACATTGGTGTGAACCAGGGGTTGCTCTTTATGAATCATGTTTGGTGTGGATTTTTTTCTCTTTTTTTATGTGCAGCTCCAGTATGAAGTGTAGAATCTGAAACCGTTGGAGCCACAGAGATCGTTAACCTGATCTGAAACAATTAACGGAAAAAAGTCTATATCAGACTGATATGATGTGACCTAGCTGGCAGATCTATCAAGCCCTGCCTATTTACATTCAACTCCTAAGGAGCTCAGTTCCACCACCTCTGGCTCAGGCCCATTGCTTTCTGCTCATTACTATCAGTTGTAAATGTTTTGACATTTGTGTTCCATTGGGGAGATTTCCCTTCACTTCCTGTCCCATAGCAAAAACAGGAAGCGAGAGGAAATCCCTCCAAAGTCAGGGAATACCTGGTTATCACTGAGGTCCCCAGAACTAGTGCCCCCATTGAAAGAGTTTCCTTCTATTACTGTTCCGGTGACAACCCAAAATTTTGAGATTTTCTTTCACTTTCACTCTCAGTGATAACAGTAAACAGCACAAGTAGGGTGAATCTCCCAAATGGGGGTACAGGCAGCAATAGAAACCTGACAGGTGTTCTAATCCCTTTCCACTCTATCCAAAACAAAAAAAAGATTGCCTTTATTTATACTTGACATGAGTATTTGAGATGAGGTCACATTAGATATCTTCTAGTTTGGAAAAAGGAAAACGAGTATAGATTGCAATAATAGGAAGTTCACATTGGTGAATGCAAAGTGAACCATTCTATGAAAAAAATCTGCAGTCCATACAACTGCTGAATTAAATAGAAAATGAAACTGGATTGTCACTGTTTATTACCAAGATTGAATTATTAACTTGTATAAATGTACACTTTAATGATTATTTCCAGAGCCTCCGAAAAATGGCGATTATAACAACACATCTACAGTACCAGTAAGTTATCATTGTTATGTCTTGTATTCTGTATTATGATTTGTGCTAGAGATTCAAAACTTCCACTAACATGTTTGAGTCCTTTCTTCCAGGCAAGAAGCCATACAGAAAAAGTAAGTCTGAATAATAAGCGTGTCCTATTTATAAAGGTTGGACATGATAGCTATTAATTTCTTTGCACTTCCATTTCATTGTAAACTTTTGCCTGTTTTTCCTACAACTTATGAAAGTAGAAACTGACACCACCTTGAGCAAATGCCTTTTACCAGTTTGAATCCATTGAAAAGATATAATACAAAGTTTAAGCTTCATGTACACTGCCAGACAGTGGTTGCGCATATTTCAGCACCTGCTTAATGACATTCCTGGGACCTGATACCACAGCGTACAGTGGCCAATTGAGATGCAAGAAAAAAGATGATTGCAGTTGTGTAAAGCACCTACATGTCCACTGACTTTTGCTCCAAGTGCACACTATCTGCATTTGGAACATTCATGTTTCATACATGTGTCTTCTAATGCATACCAATGGTTGGTGGCAGTGGGTCAAAAGAAATGTTGTTATGCGGGCTATGTGCTTTGTACAGCTGTGTGCAAGCCTTACAGCCACTGATCAGTTTTTGATGCGCTTTTGATGTTTTCAAAGCAGAACAAAAATGCATGAAAAATATATCTCTTTTAAATCCTATGGAACTCTTCACACCAATGCACTGTGGGTGTGGTGCATTTATGGTGCATGTTTAAGAAAGTGCACCAAAATGCACCTCTCCATTGAAATGAATGGAAAACACATCAAAACTGCACTGTGGTTGTATTTATGGTGCACTTTTTGGGTCATGTGTCCATATTTTATAGGCAAATAATTAGAGTCAGGCAATCAGAAAACGCATGAAAAATACACCATAACACATATGTGTTTTCACCACAATTCTTCACTGTGAAAGAACCTTTAGAATGGGTAAATTGTTGAAAAAAACTGGTGGAAAATGTTTATAAACTGTTAAAATCCATCTATGAAATACATTTATAAATTGTTTTCCCTTGTGTCAAAATATTGTGGAAATGAGCATTGAAATTTCCCAATAACATATTAAATCCAGAACCACACTCCAAATAGACCAATCGCCTTCCTTAGCCACTTGCCTACTGGGCACTTTTACCCCCTTCGTGCCCAGGCCAATTTTCAGCTGTCAATGCTGTTACATTTTGAATGTCAACTGCGCGGTCATGCAACATTGTACCCATATGAAATTTTGTATAATTTTTTTCATACACATAGAGCTTTCTTTTGGTGGTATTTAATCGCCACTGGTTGTTTTTGTTATTTGCACTATAAACAAAAAAGAGCAAACAATTAGTTTCTATTATAAAATTTTGCAAACAGGTAATTTTTCTCCTTCACTGATATGTGTTGGTGAGGCTGCACTGATAGACAGCACTGATGAAATGGCACGGATATGCAGCACTAATAGGCTGCAACTGATGAGGAGGCACTGGTGGGTATTGATGAGGAGGCAGTGATGATGGTGCACTGATATGCAGCAATGATGGGCACTGATAGGCAGCACTGATTGGTGGTACTGATGGGTGGTACTGCCGGGCACTGGTGGGTGGCACTGCTGGGCACTGATCATCAGTGCCCTGATGATTGATGCGGATGTGCTCTGTGTCATTTGCTGGTTATCGGCAGTACTTTCCTCACGATGTGACAGCATAACCGGCAACTGTATTTACATTGTGATCTGCTGTTTCATTTACCACGTGATCAGCTGTGTCCAAAGACCGCTGTGATTGGCCTTTTACCTCATTATGTGATCAGCTGTGTCCATAGGACACCGTGATCATGGAGAGCGCTGGGTACTCGCAGGAGGGTGTGTTCTGGGAACCCTCCCAGAACTGAACAATCACGCTGTAGCCGTCATTCGGCTATAGCGCGGTTGGCAAGTGGTTAGTAAGCATGCATGCTTCAGTTACAGCCCTGCATCTTAGCCACACCTCCCTGATTGGGCTTAGTTTTAGAGACTTTCTACGACTAAGCCCAACAAGGGTGAAACGCATCAGAGGGGCATCGATAAGATGTGAACACTGTAGCTGTAGCCTGCATGCTTACTAAGGAATGTGATTAATCTGTTTAGAGTGTGGTCCTGGATTTAATATTGCAGTGGACGGCAATATGGATGTGCTCCTGAAGGGGCTGGCACCCAGTGTGGGGAGAGAGCCAACAAGAGGGGGCATAGGAAGTTTGTAATTGACTCTATTCTTTATATATTGTCCAATAGCACAGACAACTATTAAAGCTGAAGTGTGGTCATCTTTTTTTGGAGGGGGGATACAGTACGCATTAGTTATGTGTAATGGTGTGAATATTATTTCTTGCAGTCATCTGCACCAGATTTTGCACTCTCCAGTTTTTAGTAAATCTCCCCCCGCATTGTGGGGTTGAAGTAATACAAGTTCTGTGAATGGCAGAGAGAGCAGAGAAACAAGCAGACAGGCAGCACAATTTTTCTGTGTAGGTGAGGCTGCAGTTAACTCTTACAGTGCCAGAAGGCAGCTGCTGAGGACTGCATCGGATGGCTGTGAGGGTGGGCAGATTTGTAGCAGATGGAGACACCTTCAGGTAATGGGATACACACCATTACAAATAATTGATATGTATGATGCTGTATCCTGAAAAAAAAAATTATATTAAACTTTAGCTTTAAATCCTATGTTTAATATGAAGTCTGAGTTTTTACCTTCCTGAATGTTTCCACAACTTTCAAAAACTCTTCACATCATTAGATTTGTCTTCTTGACCGCTCAAAATAAAGACATGCTCACCTTGTCATGTTAAAATATAATTAAAATTGGCCATCAAACCTTTTATATAATGAATATCAGTGCTCTAGGTCCATAACATGACTAGTAATAGTATTGACAGCACAATCTTTTTAAAGAGTATCTGTCACTTTGCCCATTCAGAACAAAGTGACAGGTTTTCATGATAGGGCACATCCCCAGACACTTATATTTGCTTTCAAACACTCCCTCGCCGGGTCAGGCTTTTATGATTGGCTACTCGGGGTCGTGAACTGCATCCTAGGGGTGAGGGATAATGCTTCCCCATACCCAGAAATACTTAGCACTTCCATAAACAGTGCATGGACCTGAATTTCTCAGTGAGAATGAGAAAAGAGAAAATGTTTTTAATATTACAGCTCAGTGAGCTAACTACCAAATAATTGCTTTTATATTGATCTCTTGCTTAGATTAGTAACTTTATCTGTATATAAAACGTAAGATGCCAGGAGTAACAGCAGAGTGTCACTACAATGTAACTCCCATTTACATCATTGGGTGCCCAGTGGCTAAAGTGAAAAAAAGACTCTGGACCTGGAAAAGGACCTTGTGTGGTGCTCACATCCCTGTTAGGGGGCATGCTTAAAGGTATGTCTGCCATTGTCATATCGTGTAAGTATGCTGTTGCAAGAGCTGCAGGGGCCACATGCAGATACAGCTTTGCTCTGAAGCTAAGAGGAATTCCTAACCTTCACTACTGACTTCTCATGTTTTTGGTGTTGCAGTGTTCATCCCCCTGTATCACACATGGTCCATGCCCCCTGAGTTGGAATGCACACTGTTATCCTTTCCCAACCCCTCCCCTGTACCCAGCAGACTGCTGGGGCAGGGTGGGGTGCTCCGAACCTTCCAGGTGATCACTGCAGCAAATAAAGATGGATGTGGTGGTAGATGATGGTTCACTAGTCACCACTGTAGTTGCTTGTGTTTAAAATAAATAATTGCAGCATGATTTCTTTTTCTTATCCTTTACTTCATGTATAGTGTTGAACAATCATCAAACCTCCAGGACCAGTTGAAGCATCTGTTGAAGTGAGAAGAATCTAGGGACACTTGGGACATTAAGCAATGCTGCCTACCATGTATCTGGAGCTGCTTGTATGTTGCTATTTGCTTGACAGCTCCTGGATGTGCTCCTTGATGTCAGTGGATTGTTAATACTTGAACATACCTTATTATGTTTCATTTTTACACATGTATTTTTTTTCTATTATGTATAATATTATTTATGATGGCACAAAGATTTTCATTGGGATTATTAAGTTAATTTAAGACAAGAGCCAGGTGCAAGTTTATATGTCACAAGATGAATTTTTACATGCAGTTTATATAATGTATTGTAACTGTGACATGTCCTATTATAATAAAGCTATGCTTTAGTTAAGCAAATGCATCTTGCCTTCTATTCCCCCAAGTTTTCTCCAGCCCTGGGAGTTCCTAACCTTGAATGTCCTCATTAGGCAGACAACAATTGTGACTTCCAAGTCATATCTCTGAGACCCCTAATGCAGAACACACACTGTATTAACCTATAGAGAGGTGTTCATGCTATAAAGAACCCCAACTTGTAGCCGAAAGTCTCTATTCTCATATGGAGCAATCCGGGGATCAAGAACATCCATGGCACATAGAAGAATGCAGGGGAAAAAAAGGGAATGTTAAAGCCCTCCAGAGGCATGTTGTCACCGCTGACAGAGCTTCCATCCTCGCCCAATATTCCTTTTGGGTTTGCGAGCTCTGGCCATTTGAATGGCTGGGCCGTGATTAACGATGTTCATATTACAGGCTTACCTCTAGGTACAAGTTCAAAAGTGGCGTTTACTACTGCTTTAACTGGTTAGGATAATAAATATGTGTAACCTTCTGCACTACCCTTAAAATTGTGATTATATAGTAACAGTGGCTGCTGCTAGCACCAATCAATTAATAGAACATTAATAGAAAAACAGCACTTACAGAATGTAAGCAAAGCCTCACTTTGCAAAGTTAAAATACCGAAAACTCCGCTCTGGACATCACTTCTGATTCCGCATATGACGTCACGCGGCTCCTCCCTACACACTACGTCAAGGGTCACATGACTTTGTTTGGGGAAAACCTTCCTTGTGACTGTGTGCACATTTATTATTATTTTATTATCACGTTTTAACACTGTGTCAGCACATTCACTTAAGATGTTATTTATGGTATATGATTCCTTCATGTTAATGACTTATTTGTGATTAAATGATTGACATATGATAGAGGCAACTTTATTGGGTTACTTTTTTTAGTGTTTTGTTTATTTTATAGAACCACAGCATCTATTTTTACTCATATTAACTTGCTAGGATTAAAACAGAACTTCACCCAAAAGTGAAGTTCCGCCTGTTTGTCTCCTCCCCCCCTCCACTGCCACATTTGCCATTTTTTTTCGGGGGTGGGAGCACGTAACTGGTTTTGACAGGTACCTGCTCCCATTTCTGGGTAAGGTCACTGTGGTAATCTTTCGGCCCTTCCTCTTTCTACCCGCAGCCTTCTGGGACACACAGACAACTGTGGGACAAGCCACACAGTGCAGTATTGCTCTCGCATGCGCAGTAGGAAACTGGCTGTGAAACTGGAAGGCTTCGCTGCCAGTTTCCCTTACCCAAGATGCTGGCTTCTGCACCCGAAGCCAATTGAATAATTGGCTCAGGTGAGGACATTGCTGGATCCCTGGAAAGGTAAGTGTCCTTATATTAAAAGTCAGCAGCTACAGTATTTGAAGCTGCTGACTTTTAATTTTTTGTGGGGGAAACTGGAGCTCCACTTTAACATCAAGAGGAACATTTTTTTTCTGGAAGTGACTGTATACCAAATAGTCCCCTAATGATTTTGCAAAGCTCCCATGACTGAGGGTAAGGCAGTCAGCTTCCAAAAAGTCACATGCAGCAGGTCTGAAAATGGATTGCTCCCAGACATACTCATGAGATGAGGAAGAGACGATCCCCAGTCATTTTTACTCTATGCTTATGCAACTAAGTGGAAAAAAAAGATACTGTTTTTGGTGAAGAGAAATTCAATATGGCTCATGACCTGTCTTCCATTGCTCTTAAAAGAAACCTGTGCCATTTAAAATACAGAGGCTGCCATTACTAACCTTCTGAAAATTTTTAATTGCCTGACTTTCATGCCTGATCCTCTGATTTCAGTACTCTTGAGTCATGGACCTGGAACATGCATACAGCTAATATAGTCAGAGCAAAGTCGCAACTCCTTATTCACATATTTATCTAATCTTCGTGAATAAGGACGTACTGAAGGACGTACATCAGCATAATAGCCAGGCAACTAGAATTTTAAGTAGCAAAGTCTTGAATGGCAGCCTATGTGTTTCTCTAAGCACAATTTTTTTTTAAGGATAAGTGGTGTAGCTGTGGAACTGTTGTCAGCCAATGAGGTTTCCGTTATCATCAATCAAGGGTTTATGGTTATATTTATGTCCTATACCAGGGGTGCTCAACTTGTGGCCCACGGAGCCCTCTGGCCTTCGACCTCAAACCAGAAAAGCACACTTTTATTATATCCTGTGGGGTTGGTGCACTTTCTGAAAGTGCACCAAAACTCCTGAATGCAGAAGTCTATGGCAAAGCACAGCTAACCCACAGAAAAGCTGCAGGCAGCACATCAATATGAAAGCAGAGTTATAAGGGGCTGCCAACAGTAAGAGTTGTTTACATTTGCGGTTGGTGAGGCAGTAAAACCTCTTAGTTGAGTCTTTACCCCCCCAACCACTGGTGGAGCATCAGGGGTCACAGTGGTGGCCCTCCCTATGCTCCAGGGGGCCCATGCGGCCTTCCTGTCACTTTCTGTTTTACACTTGGACAGGAGGGGCAGCATATACAGGAACTGATCTTCTCCCATTTTTCTCTTGCAACCGCTGAAAGCCAGCATCTCCTCCCTCCCACTGGCATTCAGCAGCTGCAGGAGGAAATTGTTTCTTATGCTATTCAAAATAAAAAAATTCTAAATTCTGAACATTTTTATTTCATTGTGGCCCCAAACCGGTTACCAAATCACTTAAGTGGCCCTCACGCTTCAAAAGTTTGAGAACCCCTGTCCTAAACCTTTCTCTCCAAGTTATATCTCAGTTTTTGTATTTGTGTAGGTAAATGAGACTGAGCTGATTTGATTTTTTTTTTTTTTTTTTTTAATAAATATACTAGGCCACATGTCCTGCTTAAGTGACCAGTATCATAATATTAATCGTACTAGAATTGTTTTATTTATGTACATATCTTGTTGTTATTTTCATATACTATAATTTGTGAGAATGGGAGCATCTCATTCACGGATGTATACTAAAAACATTAAAATAACATGCTTTACAGGTCTTATTTCCATCTCAAGATTTGTGATCTTGTTATACTGTTTATACACTATATTGCCAAAAGTATTGGGACGCCTGCCTTTACACGCACATGAACTTTAATGGCATCCCATTCTTAGTCCATAGGGTTCAATATTGAGTTGGCCCACCCTTTGCAACTATAACAGCTTCAACTCTTCTGGGAAGGCTGTCCACAAGGTTTAGGAGTGTGTCTATGGGAATGTTTGACCATTATTCCAGAAGCTCATTTGTGAGGTCAGGTACTGATGTCGGATGAGAAGGTCTGGCTCGCAGTCTCCGCTGTACTTCATTCCAAAGGTGTTCTATCAGGTTGAAGTCAGGACTCTGTGCAGGCCAGTGAAGTTCCTCCACTACAAACTCGCTCATCCATGTCTTTATGGACCTTGCTTTGTGCACTGGTGCGCAGTCATGTTGGAACAGGACGGGGCTTCCCCAAACTGTTCCCACAAAGTTGGGAGCATGAAATTGTCCAAAATGTCTTGGTATGCTGACACCTTAAGGGTTCCCTTCTCTGGAACTAAGGGGCCAAGCCCAACCCCTGAAAAACAACCCCACACCATAATCCCCCCTCCACCAAACTTTACACTTGGCACAATGCAGTCGGGCAAGTACTGTTCTGGCAACCACCAAACCCAGACAGGTCCATCGGATTGCCAGACAGAGAAGTGTGATTCATCACTTCAGAGAACACATCTCCACTGCTCTAGAGCCCAGTGGTGGCGTGCTTTACACCACTGCATCTGACACTTTGCACACTGCACTTGGTGATGTAAGGTTTGGATGCAGCTGCTTGGCCATGGAAACCCATTCCATGAAGCTCTCTACGCTATGTTGTTGTGCTAATCTGAAGGCTACACTAAGTTTGGAGGTCTTTTTTTTTTCTTAAATCCAAACAACTTTTATTGTCAAGATAATAGAGAAAATGGCACAGTACTTTCAGAATCCAAAATTACATTACTGCATCAGCAGGATTACACATAAATAGAGCAATGTGGATACACAAATCCCATACTGGACAGAATAACAGAAATAATCAAACAAAACAGAGACCACAAGGATCCAAAACTTTCTTGACAATACCTTGCTTTTTCCTTTTTATTCCTTTCCATCCAAATGTAAATAGAAATGGGGGACAGGAACAAAGCACAAAACATGCCTTCAAACAATAAAAAAACAAACACCAACAACAACCTCTGGTTCACCCGAGACGTCTCATCAAAAAAAAATGGGAAATGCACATGATCTCCCCCAAGGGGAGGACTGGAGCCATTTGGAGGTCTTTAGCTATCGACTCTGCAGACAGTTGGTGGCTTCTGCGCACTGTACGCTTCAGCATTCGCTGACCCCGCTCTGTCATTTTACGTGGCCTACCACTTGGTGGCTGAGTTGCTGTTGTTCCCAGTTGCTTCCACTTTGTTACAATAGCGCTAACAGTTGACCACGGGATATTTCACAGATGGACGCTTGAATCCACTGAGCTCCTGAGAGCAACCCATTCTTTCACATGTTTGTAGAAGCAGTCTCCATGCCTAGGTGCTTGATTTTATACACCTGTAGCCATGGGGGTGATTGGAACACCTGAATCTAATGATATGGAGGGGTGTCCCAATACTTTTGGCAATATAGTGTATGTACATGAGGGCAGTCATATCTGCTTGTTACATAGGCATATCCTGCTTCCTGCTTTGCTACCCAGTGTTATAGCTTTACTGTTCCATCTCATGGTGCTCAGCCGACATAGCGGTGGTTGATTTACTAAATGACAAAAGACTTAATAAATATATGTTCACTTAGCAAATAAGGTGTAGCATGGTTCACTGTGACTGCCTAGTATTAAAGATCAGCATGACAACCAGACAAATAGCATTTCCCTAAGTATTGTATTTATTATGGGGGGCCTCAATATTTCGCCAGTACCCTTTACCTTTAAAGGGTACCTATGTGTGGGTGGAGATATGGCGGTTTCACTTGCATCACTGCTTGTGACGCGCCCATGCGTACGCATTGGTTGCCGCGAGTGCGAGAGGGTGACGTCACTCGCACATGCGCGATTGTCCTGAGTGGCGCGTGGCGTTCACCGCGCATGCGCTACCGCGGCAATTTGAATAGGCGTCTCTGGGAGAGGATTCACCCCTTTGAAAACGAGCATGTTGTTCGAAACATGTAAGGGGATCCACCCAATTGACGCCACTAGCCACCAGGGAGCCACTAGCCACCAGGCAGTTTAGGATTAAGACCTGGAGGCCACTTTATACTTTAATGTGAGTCCCCTGTTTGTTTATTTGCACTTTGATTAATAAAAGACATACTTCACTATCAATACCATTTTGCCCCCTGGCTCGTTTATTATGAGCCTTGCAAGGTGGAGCTTTTGGGAGGAGTGCCATTAGGAGTTTGGACATCGTTGGATCTGGCCGGTGAGCCTGAGGTGACACCTGAGTGTGTGTTCCATCATCCCCGAGTGTACACCATGGTGACCGGATGCTGTCTGCACTGCTGACCAGACCTTGATGTCCACCCTATGATGTCATGCATACAACGCTCAGTTTGTATGTCTATGTGGTAAGCGCATAATCACACTAGATTTCCCAAAAGTCCAGTTGGATTTAGAGTACATCGAATATCTTACTGCCATTACTTTATGGACTTATCTTCTCCTATACACACATTATATATTTTCTATGTCTGATTGACTGTCACAGTATTGACAGCTTGAGTCTTTATAGTAGGATTGTTACATGCTGATTCAGTCCTTATTTTGTTGATTTCAGTATCATTCTTTGCTATCTGTCCTATAGCGCTGCATACCCTGTTCATTATACTGTTGGAGGTGTTGAGGTTTACCTTGTATGTCAGCTGCTCACTCTGATAGATTGCGCTCACTTGCCTCCTCCTTTTTTTTCTTGTTATCAGTACCTTTAAAGTGGTTGTAAACCCAATGTCTAACAAATATCAAACACTCACATCTCCTTACAGTTTGTAGAATGAACATGACAAGCACATTATTTGTTCTTCAGTTTTTTCAAGTCTTTGCCTGTTTCAGCTCGCTGAATATCTCCCATTTTGTGGGTGTATACACTGCTTGGAGCTGGGGAGTCATGATGTCACTAGCCTCCCCTCCCAGCTGTACACCCCCCCAGCATTCTCCCTAGCACAGCTTAGCAGCGTGCACAACGCGGACTCAGGCTGAGGCTGTGTGAGACACACCCCCTTCACTCATGATCCAGCATGAGTCTCCTGATTAAGTGTGTCATTCAAAGGAGGGGGGGGTGTGGTGACACCTTTTTTACTCAGGTGTCTGAATTTTTTCCTGTGCATGAGTGGAGAGGATTGCAGATGACAGGATGCTCTTTTCCTGGCAAAACTGAGGACAGTAGAGTTCTGCTGCACTGCTGAGTTAGATGCATTGTTCAGTTTTTTTTTGATTTTTTGGGGTTTATAACCACTTTAATTTCTATTTTTAAATGCAGCTAGTGGAAGTGCCTGTTTTTTTTTTTTTTTTTAATGTGAGCTTCCTCATGAAATCTCATTTACAATCGCATTAACCACTTCATCCTGGCCATATGCATATATGCCTCCTCGGCAGGTGGGCCTTAACACGGATATATGTGGCCCTGTATAAACAATTTACCATGCTTAGATCACACTCCCAGCACGATAGCTGGCAAGGATCGGTAAGCTTCCAACACATACTTGCCATCAGGAGCTGTCTGATCATGTGACCACTGTGACAGCCAATAACAGCGGTCACATAGCCCATATGCTCTCCTCCACCTCCCGACATCTAGAAGCTCTTAAAGGGCCAGGAGGCGTTGGCGCGAAGGGATTAATTTCACTTTAAATTTCTTTATACTGGTTACTTCCCCATGGGACAAAGTACTTCATGTATTTTGTGATACATACTCCCCAAGGGGTACTCTTTCTTATCAAATCTGAACTCTGTGATAAGAAAATATTGTCTAAATACATTAGCATGCCTATTGTTACTTGAATCTTGGCATGTTTTGTGTATTTATTCCAGATCTGTGCAGTAATTCAGTGTGATGGAACTTCCTGTAATAAAGATCGGTCACTACAGCTCTCTCTCTTTTTGCAGGGTGACTGGTCTTGTCTCCATCTCCTCCTGTAGTTTTCTGCAGACAGCTTGTAGTAGGTGGACCATGGAGCCGCTGGGTCCCTCCAATACCTCTGCTTTCTGCTCAGGTTAAGTGCAGTCAGGTGATTATGTCACAACTATTTTACAAGGTAATAACTGTTTTTTAAAGGCATTTGATGCACACAAAGTGCATCTATATATTTTTGGACTATTGAGGAATATATGTAATTGAATGTTTTTGTGCGTGGATTCAGCTTTAATCTCTCAGGAGAACTAGTCTGGCAGTTTAGTAAGCACTAAAAGTGACACAAACCGAACCCGATCTGGTTGTTTTAAAAGCATAGAGGATTGCTTAGAAAGCACTGACACATTTAGATTCTACAACACTCCATGAATGTGCTCAATTAAGCAAATATTTGAGATCAACTCCCAAGGATCATAAAGTACTTGGTAAATATTTATTGCAATAAAAGGATACATAATATAATAAAGTGGACACAAATTTACCTAGTGTCCTGACATGTTTTTACATCCAGGCAGTGAATAGTAATACATGTTATGGTAAAACTTGTGCTAGATCCATAAGATCTCTGATTCATACAACATTTTCTTGAGTTTAGGCTACATTCACACTGGTGAGTTGGTTCATACAGTGGATACTTGCAGCTGGATTCCTAGGTGTATGAGAACAGCTCCAACCCGAAAGCTTGTACAAAGGAATGACAGACTGCCAGCAGACGCATCTGTCCATATGTAATCACACATGGATATGTTGCCTTTTGATCAGACCTAGAAACAATTTTGTGTTTAGTCCCGCTCTTCTGTCCTTAGCAGCAGGGAACCGCTCCATGTGATATTGTATACGGACAGATGCGCCAGCTATCAGCCTGTCATTCATTTGTATAGGCTTTCTGGTTGGAACTGTTCTCATACACTTGTGAATCTGTAGGTATCTAATCGCTCCTGGGAATGTAGCCTAGTGGTAAAATAAGCATTTTAAATCCGTTGGAATGATTATGAATTGGGTTTTTATATTTCATTCCCCTTATTCAGTTTTTAGAATATCCAACAAGCAAAAATACAAAATGTTCCATGCCTTCATCTGAAAATGCTATTTATTTGCTTAGCCCTCTGATTTCAACACTTTGAGTCACTGGCCCAGAACAAGTTTGCAGCAATTAAAGTCAAATTAAGATCAGAAACTCCTGATCTGCATACTAGTTAGGCTGCTTTCACACTGATGCGCTTTTTCAGCGCTAAAACACACCTTTAAAGTGCATCAAAGCTATTCCCCTTTAAATCCTATGTGACTTTTCACATCGCTACACTGTTTTTGCACTGCGGTCTGGAAAGTCCTGCATGCTGCATCTTTGATGTTCTTTTCAAAGGTGTACCAAAAATGCACCTTCCATTTAAGTAATTGGAAAATGCTTCAAAAACTCACCCAGAGTGCGTTTAAATGTGCGTTTTTTCGAGTCACCTGCCAAAAAGAGGCTGGTTGTTAAGGAACGGGTACCCGTTGGCATCCTTAACAATCAGCAGAAAACTACAAAAACAATGCCTCTGCCCCCACCTCAATGGTGGTCACCATGATCCAGCTCACCTCTGTTTCCTTCTTGTGGAGGAGATGTCTAGCTGCCTGTCTCTCCTCCCGAGATGTTCCCGGCTGTCCCGCCCAGTCTTTCTGGCTCCTCCCCCCTCCAGTGGTAGCATCTCCTGCACAAGACACTAAGCAGAGAGGAGGTGAAGTAGGCATGGAGGGGAGGCATTGTAAGTGTAGTTATCATTGGTTCTTAAGGGTGCCAGTTACTTAACAAACAGCGAATAGCAGTTTGTGAAGGAGCTGGCACCCAATGGCATCCTTAACAACCAGATATTCACCTCAGATACATTGCACTAAATTTTAACACAACACATTTACATGTGCTGTCACAGTATAGGGACCCTGCCAAATGGCCAACATCCATCACGGAGGCTTCCCCACCCCCCCCCTGGCCAGCTGGCTGCCTTGTATTGCTGAGTTAACCTTTAGTAGTGGCCTTTCTTCAAACCTTATAGTGCTTTAAAGACCAAGTTTTTCTGATATGCCAAAACGTACCATGCCCCACTTTAAATGACTTCAGACCAGGCTTAAAATGTTTAAAACTTTACTGGAGATTTCTCAGAACAGTCCAGTAGAAAATTCAGTGCAAAATGTTTTAATCCTAACTGAATTTTCTTTAGCTGCCCAGGCATACCTTGACACAGGTAAAAGTTCATGATAGGTATTCCCTACAGATTGGTAGTTCTCCTGCAGTCCAGTTTTTCATTGAAGGTTCTTTAGTGCTCCAAGTCCGTTACAGCAGAAACGGCCAAGACGTGATTGGGAATGTGCCACCCCTTTGGACCCAGCCTTCACCCTTTTTACATCACACTGGGTAGGAAGGCAAAA